ACATGGGGGGGGGGCCCCCCCCCAGCCGGGGTGGGGGCGGCGGCGGGTCCCGCCTGCCCTCCCCCTCCTCCTGGCACCCAGGGTTGAAGCCGCCCCGGCCGCCCCAGCCCTTTCATGCGGCTCTCGGTGGAGCCTGACCCCGCACAAAGCCCCCAGGAACCCATTTGAATCTGAAAAGGGGTCTGAGCGCAGAGCCCTGACCTTCAACCTGCGGGTCAGCCCCTCCATGCCACCGCCACCGGCCCCCGCCGGCCCCCAGGACCCCTCCACGAGCCGGGACGGACTGAGCTGAGCCACGGGCCCTGCCGGAGCCAGGCACAGGAGTGCAGGCAGGGACAGGGGCTGGGAGCAGGCAGCACAGGCAGCCCCCCCAGCTCCGGTATCTGTGTCAGCTGCTGGTGATCCGGGTGCGGGCACTTGCCCCTCCGTGCCAGGCACATGGCAGCGCCTGCCGCACCGATCAGCGTTTCGGAGGGCTCCTGGCTGGTGGAGAGGTGGCGGGGGCAGAGGGCATGGGCAGCTCAGGGGGGTGAGCTGCATCCCTGCATCCCTGCAGCCCTACATCCCTGCATCCCTGAAGCCCTACCCTAAAAAAAGCATCCCCACAGCCCTGCATCCCCGCATCCCCGCATCCCTGCATCCCTGCAGCCCTACATCCCCACAGTCCTACATCCCCGCAGCCCCGCAGCCCTGCATCCCCGCATCCCCACATCCCTGCATCCCCACAGTCCTGCATCCCCACATCCCTGCATCCTTGCAGCCCCGCAGCCCTGCCCTGCAGCCCTGCAGCCCTCTCTCTGCCCTCTCCATCACCACAGCTCCAGATATTGATCCACTGAGCCTTGAACTCTGCTGCAAGATCTCTCCGGGGAGATGCAGGCCTCATTTTAGCCTATATATAGCTCCCTGCCTCAGTTTCCCTCCCACCCTGTGGCGTGAGCCCTCGGCTGCCCCACAGCCCTGTGCATCCTCCCACCGGAGGCCCATGCTCAGCCCAGCTCCCGCTATCCGAATGCCCCATCGTGCCGGGTTTCGGGCCGCCGGATTTAGCCCCTAGCTCCCTGCGGCAGCCCCCCGGCACAGCCCCGCTGCCGGGACCCCCCCTGCCCGGCAAGGATGCCCCCGGCGCAGGGTCACTGCTCCTCTTCCCTCCTGAATATGCATGGGGCCCCGGCCGCCACGGCCACCGCCGTCACCTTTGATCCCACGTCAGGGATAACGAAATGGCTTCATCTGCGCCAGGAGATAGCGGGGGTGGCGGGGAGGGGACGGCCTTTGTTCCCGGCCCCGCTGGGATGAGCCGAGCTGGGGGTCCGGTTGCCTGAGCCCCCCCAAAGCCCAAAAGCCCCCCAAGCCCGAACCACGGGGGGCTGGCCAAGCCACAAGCATCAGTGGTTTATTCTCCCTGGGGATACAGCGGGTGCCTCCCGGCACAGGGCGTCTTGGGGGTGACGAGGGGTCCCTAGATGCAGGTCTCGCTGCCGGCCGTCCCCTGCTCCAGGGTCTGCAGCCTGCGGGCCAGCGCCTGCACCCGCCGGGCGTGCTGCCTGCGCAGGGCACCTGCCTGCACCTCCAGCCGCCGCAGCTGGGCTGCCTGCTTCCGCCGGGTGCCGCGGTACGCCAGGGCCAGCGTGCTGCGGGTGCCACGCTCAGCGTCCTGGCCCCGGGTGTGATGCCGAGGGGACCGAGGGGACCGGGCGGGCAGGAGGGACCGTGGGTTTGGGGTGTGCAGGGAGGGACCAGGCTCCTGGGGTGTGCAGGAGGGGACTGAGCATCAGGGGTGTGCGAGATGGGACCACGCTTTTGGGGTGTGCAAGAAGGGACTGTGTATCAGGGTGCAAGATGGGACCACATTTTTGGGGTGCACAAGATGGGACCATGCTTTTGGGGTGTGCAAAAAGGGACTGCGTATCAGGGTGCAAGATGGGACCGCATTTTTGTGGTGTGCGGGAAGGGACTGTGCTTTTGGGGTGTGCAAGAAGGGACCGCAATTTTGGGGTCTGCAGGTACGGACCACGCATTGGGGGTATGCAGGGGGGGACCATGTTTTTGGGGTGTGCAAGGAGGACCACACACTGGGGATGTGCAATATGGGACCGTGGTTTTGGGGTGTGCAGGAAGGGACTGTGCATCTGGGGCATGCAGGGGGGTGTGCATCCAGGACATGCAGCAAGGCACCGTGCTTTCGGGGCGTGCGGGGGGATGTTGCACCCACCGCCCGCCCAGCGGGGAAGCGGGCGGCTCCTGCCCACCTGTGAGCGTGGAAGAAGTCTGCGGTGACGGCGACGCACTGCGCCTGCTGCGCGCGGCTGGCGGCACTGCTCTGCTCCAGGGACAGCACCAGAGCCTGCGCCCGGGCGCGCAGCTCCTCCACCCTGGGGACACCCGCATGGCAGCCAGCCCGGCACGCTGCCCAGTGCCGGCATGGCTCCCGTGGCAGGGCTGCGGCACGCCGGTGAGGTCTCTTACCGGGCCAGGGCACGGAGCAGCTCTTCCCTCATCGTCTCCAGGTCCGGAGGGTGCCGGGGAGCTGCCGCTCCCACCCGGCCCGGTTGGGCATCCTGCAGAGGTTGGCTGTGGGTCCCATCCCTGGGGAGGCCCCCGGCCCCAGGGAGGGTCCCGGTGGGGAGGTCAGAGTGAGCCTTACCTCTTCGCTGCTGCTGGAGCTGCTGGGGGGGCTGGGGGGGCAGCCGGGCCCCCCGTCCCGCTCCAGGTGCTGGAGCACCAGGCGCAGCGCAGCCTCCCGCGGCCCCTGCCCGGCCACCAGCACCTCCAGGCCCCGCTTCTCCCTCTCCGTCAGCTGCAGCCGCGTCTTCAGGTCGGCCATGGCCTCCTGGCAGGGCAGCGGCATCACCACCAGGCAGGGGAAACTGAGGCATGGCCCCAGTGCCCCCTGCTCCCTCCTGCCGTGCATCACCCCCTGCCCTTCTCCCAGCTGCTCTGCTCAAAGCCACGAAGCAGCAGAGAGGGACCCAGGGCATGGCCCCCCCGTCCCCCCAACATCTCACCTTCAGCATCGCCAAGTCCTGCAGCAGCTCCGCTTTCTCCAGCCGCCTCCAGCCGGGCAGGAGAGCCCTGGCGTCCCGCAGCGCCCGCTCAGCCCGGGCTCGGGCATCCTCGCTGCAGCGGGTGCTGGCGCGGGCGGGCGCCGGGGCGTCG